AACAAGCATGCGTAGCTGAGTCTATTGGTGTTGGGCCAACTGTATATTTGGGAGGTTTCCAAATTAACTTCCCTGTAGAATCCAATGTTCTTTAGAAAATAAGTAGAGGGGGAAAGTGCTTATTTGAACCATACATATCTATGATTAAAACTCTACAGTAACCAAAGCAATTGTTTAGAACTGAGATCTTTAAAAAGATACTTGGTTGGGGGGAGGATAGTATAGGCAGAGCATTTTATCCCTGACCTTGATGATAATAAACACCAGACTTTCTTTCTGTTAGTTTTATTATTGTTTATAAATTCTCTACCAGCAATATACCCCCTTTCAGCCTACAGACTGAATGAAGCTTCCCAACCTCCCCGTCTCTAGTAGGCTACCGCAGTAAAACACAAAAAGGAAAAATTCATAAGAAGCACGGAGAATGGGACTAATAATCATTTTAAAATCCTAGACAATGGGATCATACTGCCTAATAAACTAGGCTGTAAGAGGTCACGGCTCAGAGCATGTATAGGAGGAAGGCTACCATGTGACCACATTTTCCTCGCAGTTTTTTAGAATGAGCAAGGGGGGCGAGAACTGGAGAAAAGGCTAAAGCTGGGATGGTGGAGGAAAAGCCTCCTGTGGACTTCTGCTGGATCAGCCTGGTACAACCCCTTCTCCAATGCCTGGCTCCATGGATGAAGACCTAAGAAGTGCTCCTAAAAGAATTAGGCAATCTTCCTTGGAAGACTTTGTGCTCCCACACAAAAGTTGATACCCCAAAGTGACTCTCTTCTTTTCAGTCCCGCAGAAAGAGAGATAGGAAGCCTGATAACAGCCCCAGAACTTGAATTGCCTGAAGCAACAGAGGAAGGGGACCTGAAGCAACAGAGGAAATCACAGATCGGTCAATAATAATCAACAGTCTTTCCTTCTTAAATAAGATTTGCTTTAAATTTTTCATTGAGGGTGTCATTGGTTAATAAAACTGTGTAAGTTTCAGGTGTACAATCCTATAATACATCATCTGGATACTGTATTCTGTGTTTACCACCCCAAGTCAAGTCTCCCATCAGCATGTATCCCCCCTTTACCATTTTCTACCTCCCCCTGCCTCTCTTTCCCTCTAGTAATCGCCATACTGTTTTCTGTGTCTATGAGGGTTTTTTTCCTTCAATTAACCCTTTCACCTATTTCACTTAGCCCCCAACCCACTTCTCTTCTAACAGCGGTCATTCTGTTTCTATTTTGTTTGTTTATTTTGTTTATTAGATTTCACATATAAGGAAAATCATATGGTATTTGTCTTTCTCTGTCTGCCTTATTTCACCTTGAAAAATACTCTCCAGGTCCATCCATGCTGTTGCAAAAGGTAAGATTCCATTCTTTTTTACCACCAAGTATTATTCCATTGAGTAAATGTACCACAGCTTTTTTATCTATTCATTTACTGGTGGGCACTTGGGCTGCTTCCATATCTTGGCTATTGTAAATAATGCTGCAATGAACATAGGGATGCATATATTCTCTCAAATGAGTGTTTTGGGTTTCTTTGGTTATATTCCCAGAAGTGGAATCACTGGGTCATAAGGCAGTTCCATTTTTAACTTTTTGAGTTATGTCAGTACTGCTTTCCATAGTGGCTGTACCAGTCTGAATTCCCACCAACAGTGCAGGAGGGTTCTCTTTTTTCTATATCCTGGCCAGTACTTATTACTTGTGATTTATTGACGATAGCTAACAGATATGAGGTGATGTCTCATTGTGCTTTTAATTTGCATTTCCCTGATGATTAGTAATGCTGACTATCTCTGTGTCCTCTGTGAAGAAATATATATTCAGGTCCTTTGCCTATTCTTAATTGGATTTTTTGTAGGCCTTTGGTGTTGAGTTATGTAACTTCTTTATAAGTTTTGGATATTTACCCCTTATCAGATGTATCATTGGTGAATATGTGCTCCCATTCAGTGGTTTGTGTTCTCATTTTGTTGATGACTTCCTTTCCTGTGCAAAAATTTTTAATTTGATGTAGCCCCATTTGTTTACTTTTTCTTTTTTTCCCCCTAACCAAGAAGACAAGTCAGAAAAAATATTGCTTTGAGAAATGCCTGAGATTTTACTGCCTATGTTTTCTTATAGAATTTTTATGGTTTCAAGTTTACATTTAAGTCATTCATCAATTTTGAGTTTATTCTTTTGTATGGTGTAAGAAGGTGGCCTAATTTCTTTTTTTTTTTTTTTTTTTTTGCCCATATCTATCCAGTTTTCCCATATCTTCACCCCATTGTATGTTCTTGCCTCCTTTGTTGACTATTAATTGACCATAAAGGCATGGGTTTATTTCTGGGCCTTCTATTTTGTTCCATTGATCTATACATCTGTTTTTATGCCAGTACCATGTTGCTTTGATTACCATGACCCTGTAGTATAGTTTGATATCAGGTAGCATGATTCCTCCAACTTTGTTCTCTTTTTGTCAAGATTGCTGTGGCTCTTCCAGGGCAGGGAGGGGGGGAAGTTGTGGTTTCATATAAATATTTGGAATATTTGTTCTATTTCTGTGAAATACTCCATTGGTATCTTGATGGAATTGCATTGAATCTATAGATTGCTTTGGGTAATATGGACATTTTAATAATGTTAATCTTTCATACCCATCAACACAGTATGTTCTTCTACTTACTTGTATCTTCTTCGGTTTCTTTCTTCAGTTTCTTATAATTTTCTGAGTACAGGGTTTTATATCCTTGTTTAAATTTATTCCTAGGTATTTTTTATGCAATGGGATCACTTCCTTCGTTCCCTTTCCAATAGCTCATTATTGGTATATTAAAATGCAACTGCCCCTGGTCAGATGGATCATTTGATTGGAACATCATCCATATACCAAAAGGTTGAGGGTTCAATCCCCAGTCAGGGCACGGATTGAGGCAACCAATCTCTCTCTCTCTCTCTCTCTATCTCTCCCCCCCGCCATATATTTAGTGTCCCACTACTTTACTGAATTCATTTATCAGTTCTAGTAGTTTTTTGGTAGAATCTTCAGAGTTCTCTATATCTGTATCATTTCAATGGCAAATAATGACAATTTTACTTCTTCCTTTCCAATTTGGATGCCTTTTATTTCTTCTTGTCTGATTGCTGTGGTGAAGACTTCCAGTGCCATGTTGAAAAGAATGGTAAGAGCAGATTTGTTGTTCCTGATCTTAAGGAAGCCATTTTCAGTTTTTGCACATTGAGTATGATGTTAGCTGTGGGCTTGTCATGTATGGGTTTTTATTATGTTGATATATGTTCCTTCTAGCCCCACTTTGCTGAGAGTTATTATCACAATGGGTGCTGGATTTTATTAAATGCTTTTCCTGCAACTACTGATATAATCATGTGATTTTTATCTTTCATTTTGTTTATGTGGTACATCACTTTTATTGATATGTAGATATTGTGCCAATATTGCATCTCTGGAATAAAGCCCACTCAGTCATGGTGTAAGATCTTTATAATGTATTGCTGGATCTGGTTTAATATTTTGTTGAAGATTGCAGTATTGATGTTCATCAGGTATTGTCCTACAACTTTCTTGGTAGTGTCCTTATCTGTGTTTTTAATTAGGTAATGCTGGCCTCATAAAATGAGCTTGGGAGTCTTCTCTCCTCTTGAATTTTTTGGAATAGTTTGAGAAGAATAGGTGTTAGTTCTTCTTTGAACATTTAGTAAAGTTCACCTGCAAATCTATCTAGTCCAGGACTTTTGTTTGTTTGGAGTTTTTTGGTTACTGCTTTAATTTTATTAGTTGTATTTGGTCTATTCAAATTTTTTTATTCTAATTCAGTTATAGAAGATTGTATGTTTCTAGGAACTTATCTATTTTATCCAAAATATTCAATTTGTTGGCATATAGTTGTTCACAACATTTTCTTACAATCCCTTGTATTTCTGTGGGGCTACTTGTTACTTTTCCTCTTTCATTTCTGATTTTATTTATGTGAGTCCTCTCTCTTTATTGTTCGATGAGTCTTGTTAAAGGTTTGTCAATCTTATTTATCTTTTGAAAAACTAGCCCTTGGTTTCATTGATCTTTTGTACTTTTTTAGACTCTATCTCATTTATTTCTGCCCTGATCCTTATTTATTTCTTCTGTTCACCTTGGGTTTTGTTCTTTTTCTAGTTTCTTTAACTGTAACACTAGATTGTTTACTTGAGATTTTTCTTGTTTCTTGAGATAGGCCTGTAATGCTATGAATCTCCCTCTTAGGACTGCTTTCACCGTGTCCCATAGATTTTAGATTGTTGTGTTCTCATTTTAATTTGTTTCAAGGTGTCTTTTGATTTCTTCCTTGATCTCATTGTCAACCTATTTATTGTTTAGTAACATGTTATTAGCTTCCATTTCTTTGTTTGTTTTTTAGTTGTTTTCTTGTGACTAATTTCCAGTTTCATGCCATTATGGTCAGAGAAGATGCTTGATTTGATTTTAATCTTCTTAAATTCATTGAAATTTATTGAGACTTGTTTTGTGTCCTAACATGTGGTCTATCCTAGAAAATGTTCCATGTGAGCTTGAAAAGAATGTATATTCTGCTGCTTTGGAGTGAAATGCTCTGCAGATACCAATTAAATCCATCTGATCTAGTGTGTCATTTAAGGCTGCTGTTTCCTTGTTGTTAAATAAGAATTTTATTCAAGGCTTCTGGGAAACTTACAGAGAACCAGATGTTCCAAAGTGAAGGAATAAAATGCAAACAAAACCTGAGAAACAAACAGAAGGTAATCTAGAAAAGAGAAACAACTGTCAAAAGAATGCTAACAGCCTCAGAGAGGTTTAAGAAGAGAGGGCATCCATAAAACAAGAACAGATTATCATTATTTTTTAAAGGTGCAAAGAACAAGAAAGAGTTCGTGGAAATAAAAATGTATTATTTAATACAAGGCTGAAAGAAGGATTTCAAGAAAACTTTCAGAACATAAGTTTAAAACAAGACAAAGAGGAAATACAATGGAAAATTATACATTTAGTGCTCGCTTCACTGCACACATACTAAAACTGGAATGATGCAGAAAAGATCAGCACAGCCTCTGCACAAGGATGACATGAAAATTCGTGAAGCCCTCCCTATTTTTATAACTTATAAGTCTTAAAAGTCAAATTATGTGCTTTTATTTGAAGAGTACATCATACAATAAATGCACAATAAAACTTTTATGCTTTAACTGCCAAAAAAAATTATACATTTAACATGTAAATCTTTCATTTTACTCAAAATATGTTATTAAATCAGATAGTTCATGATATTAATATTGATGAATGGCGTAAAAGAAATTAAGAAATAAAATATTACAGTCTGATCTCTAGATGTCTGCACCCTATCACAGAATTACAGAATATTAATACTAAAAAAAAAGGTAGAAAACACCTAGCTCAGTAATTTCTAAAGAGTATTTCACTGAGGACTAGGACTGACAAAATGTTTCTCATTGGGTTTAAAAAAGAAGCTGAGCAAACAAAGCCCTGTGTCTTCACATCTAATTTAACCAAGGTGCTTTTGTTTGATGTTTTGTTTTGTTTTTATTTTGGGGTCCTATGTAAAATTTCATTTGTAAAGGAGTTATTTGCTATAGAACTAGGCTGAGGCATGCAGCACTAATACTTCTTATGTGTTCCAGGCAGACTATATTTTAAAATATTTGTTCATTTATATAGAAATGCTGAACACTGCATGAAGGGAGCAGAAAAGCAAGACTGCTGGTGGTGAGGTCCAGCCTTCCCTCTTTTGTCCCAGGCGACCTGGATGGGGCCCAAGCTTGCAGTTTAACAGGACAACAGCCCGGTGGTAAACGCGAGTCCCTCCCAACAGAGGGTTTGTCCTCCATCTGTTGTTTCTTAAGCTTGCTCCATGGGAATCTCACCCAGTGTCCCAATAGCTTACTCTCGGATCACATATGGCACTCTCTGAGAGGAGTCCTGATAAATTCCGTGTCTCCATCTTATTTTGTTTCCACTGCTGTTTTAACACCTCATAGAGATGGATATCCCGGGCAGCTACTCAGCTGGCCAGCCCCATTATCTGGCTCAGTGTATTTAATATACATGCCTGATAACCACTAATTGAAATCAAACCTCTCATTTGCTGCTCAGGAAACTGAGAACTAGAAGACAAAGTGACTTGCCCGAGTGACTTTCCCATTTCATCTGACGACGCTGCCACACTCTCTAATTGCTTCGCTCAGGTATGTCTTTCTGTCTCAAACGGATATCAGCTACCTTGGTTAAGGCTCATTGTTTAGATTTTTTTTCTAACTCCTTCAGCACAATGTTAAGAATAAAGCAGGTGTCCAGGAAGTACTTGCTGGCAAATCTTTTTAAAAATCATTTTTACAAAGAAAATCAACTTCCATTTTGAAGCAGGATGTCTCAGCTCAACATTTTTGCTTGCAACCATTAGGGAAAAAAATAGAAAATATTTTAAAATAATATTTTTAAAGATGTCAGATAACTGATATTTGGAGGAGCAAAAAGTAGCTAAATCCTCTAAATTTCTGGGGAAGAAAATGTCCTTTTTAGGGCTAGCTGACAAATGCTGGCCATTTCCTATGCAGTCATGGTGCTAGCACAGGTGGAGGTGATTTACTATGGGACAGGCAAACCAGCACAGTGTTAACTGTCACAGACTGTGTTTAAGGATGCCAATCTAGTCAAGCCCCAAATGTACCTTCATGTTTCCCCAGCAGGACATCTGCTGGGGTAAGGTTAAGCGAAAGGCTTGTAACAAAAATCAAAAGGTGGCTGCGTCTGCTGGCAGGTGTTGAGGGAGGGGATTGGCTGGAAAGGGGAAGATGGGAACTTCTGGGGGTGAAGAATATATTCTCTAACTGATTTTGAGAGGTGTTTACACACACATGTCTGTGTAGGTAAAACTACAGTTCTCCTCTCATATAGAGAAAATTCCAGTTCTTTCCTTCTCCTGGGAGCCTTTTCCCTGGGTGCCTCCTTTGCTGCTCACACAGTACACTTCCCTTCTGACACGTAAGGCACAGTAAAGAGGGAGAGGGTGGTCAGGGGAGAATGGACAAGCCACACTAACATTTCAGGGAAGAAAGGACAAGGGGGGAGGCGAGAACTGGTTGCCTCTTAGGAACAGAATGGAGACCAATAGAGGCCAAGAGAGGAAGTGGCATGAAAAGGGAAGCAGAGGCCAGCAGGGGGCAGATTTTGCCGGTTCTTGTTGGCCATGATAGAATATGGATTTCTTTTCTATTTATAAGGAGAAGTGATGGAAGGTTTATAAGCAGAGAAATGACATGGTATAATTTATGTTTTAAATAAAGTACTCTGGCTATGATTTAAGATTAGAGCGGAGGCAAGAGACTAGTTAAGAGGCTATCACATAGAGAGTTGATGTTGGCAGGGGTCTGGGCGACAGAGATGGCGCTGGGGGACAGTGGACACTTGAGCCTTGGGGATGTCATCAGCAGGGCCTGCTAATGGATAGATGTGTGGATTGGAAGAAAGCCTTTCCTCCTCATTCATCAAATATTCAGTGCCCCAGTCTCCCAATGCACCACCTCTCCTAGGCTTCCTTCTATTTTATAGACTTCTTTCTCCTTCTCTCATTCTTCTCTTATACCCTAACACCTTCTTGTACCCCTCTTCCCTCTTTCCAGTCCTTTGTATTCTCTAAGTGCTCAGAACCTTTTTCCACTTCCTTCTACAGATTCCCCCTGAGTTTTTCAAAACAGAGGCAGTACTTTTTTTACTGCCTTCCTTCCCACATTTGTATCTTTACTCAGGCCAGTCTCCTGATACTAGGTATCCTGGCTTGAATTGTCAAAGAGAGTGATGCGTTGTGGGAAGAGAGGGACGTGGTGGCTCCTGCATCTGAGGGTCACTGTCCAGAGCCAGCTGAGGAGGGAGTGGGGCTCTGAATCCTGAAGAGCCCGTCCCGGGGTTGTCACAGATGGGGGAATAAACGTGAGTCATCGCAAACATCTCTCTGTTTGCCAGGAGAGAGGACATGGCTCTTCCCTCTAAGGGGAGAGAGGGTCCCCAACCCCCACGTCCAAAAGCTTTGATTGAGAACTGTATGCACAGGGGTATGGATGCAAAGCTCATCAATCAATGTCAAAGGCCATGTTTATAGAAAACAGATAGAGATCATGGATAACAATTGGAGGAACAGAAGAGGTCTGCCTCAGGTCAGGGTCTATGAATAATGTAAATCTCCTTCCCAGAATGAGCCTGTTATCATCGCATTTGAGGGAAGAACAGCATGATTAAAGGAATTTACTTCTAGGCCTGATTTTCCCCGGGAATTGCTGATCCAGTTTAGGGCTGTACCTGCCTTTAGTATTGTTTCAAGCCTGAGCCAGGCGGGTGGGGCAGAGCCACCTAGAGACAAGGAGATTTCTTTCAGCTAGAATGAGGACTCTGGCCCTGTCCAAGCCGAGCTGAGGGGTGTGGGCCTTTATGCCCTTTCTCTGTATCCCCCAAGTCCTTGTCCCACTGCCCATACAGGCCAATGTCTGGCTTAAATTGTGCTTCCTCTTGGGAGAACTTACCCGTCATCAACAACCGACCATCACAGGGCCAAACAGGATGATGCAAGGGGGCAGGTTTTGTCTGCTCAGTGACCTGTTTTCCCAAGGCCTCCTCGATTATTTCCAGCCTGGAGGCCCTCTCGCCTGTCAGTGGGGCTACAGTCCCTGAAGCCAGACGGGGTGTTTCCCAACATTGAATGACCCCACAAGTGCTTCAACTCAACATGTGCTACATTGACCCACGTCCATTTCTAAACCTTCTCCTGAATTTCCCTTATTGTTCAGTAGCATAACTTTTCATCTCAGAATCCAAGCCAAAAACCTGGGGCTACCTTAAACCCTTTTTCTCAGCTCTCATTGTCTATCAGTCTCAATGTCCTATTAATTTTACACCTTAATACCTTGGCGTATCTTGTCCCAGCATCTATCTCTCATTACTTCCTTAATTCAGACACTCACCTTCTCTATATGGATAGTTTCAAGTATTCCCACAGATTTGTCTCTCTCCGTTCTATCCAAATCCAGATTCCATCCTGCCTACAACATCTTTGTGTGGTCTGTGTACCACTCAATCCAAATATTCTTGAGTGGTCTGTATATTGCTCAATCCATCCTTATTTTTCCTGTGCTTGAAACTTCCAGTAGTTCCACTGGCTCTGGGATAAAAATGCAAGTTTCGTACATGGCATGCCAGACCATCTGTGATCTGTACCCAACTTCTAGCACTCATCTCGCACTATTTTTCAAAGTACATTGTATGCTACAGTTACACTGAATTATGTAAGTTCTCCAAATTCTCCATATTGTTCTATGCCTGAAAAGCCAGCTCAAGTATTTCCTTCCTCCTCTGAGGAAATTTCATCCTCACAGATTCGATCAATTTCTTCTTCTCTTCAAAATTTTACTTTGGACAGGTTCTCCTACATACCACTGGTTCTACACCGTGCAACAACTAGTGGCACGATCGCTGTCTTCATTCTCTTTCATCCCCATTCCTCCACTCCTAGTCTTTGTTCCTTCTTCCATAGGCAACCACATGTTTAAAGTGTTCTGACAAGATATGTGTCTCATCGTTTTGTATTGATGTATTTCTAATTTATGAAAATGGTACTGTGTTCTATATCTCATTTTGTAAAAAATTAACTCTATGTCTTTAGAATGCACCCATGCTGTTTTGTTTTAATCAATATGATGCTTCCAACAGATTACTCGTAATATCCCAAGGAGAAAACATCCACCACGTTTTATCCATACATTCTGCAGGTGATGCACAAACAGAATGCTTTCAGCTCCTTGCTCATAACTGAGGTGGCAGTGAACATACTTGTTGATGTCTCTTTCTTCCACAAATTAACTGTAGTTTGACCTGTTAAGAGTACATACACACCAGAGAGACTGATAAAAAAAAAAAGTCTCATTCTCTTTTTCAAATCAGAACTTCCATCTTTTTCTCCATGCTGATTAATAAATCATTATCTGTTTGTTGTATCCATCTTTTTTAAGTTTGTTAACATGTTGAGTCTCCCAAGCTATTTACTGGTTAACTCATTTTTGCACCTGCACAGCAATGACCCTACAAGACATCT